CACAGTCTGGTTGGGTGGTGATTACAGAATGAAAGGGATGAGCTGAAACTGATGGCAGAGCTTGGGCAGTTTTATTACAAACACTGTGGTAAAGATCGTGCTGTAGATGTTGAGGTGTCTTGATCCACAAAACTTAAATCAGAAGATACGGGAAGCAGCCATGTTAGCACTGCTTGCAGAAACATAAAGGGTATAAAAGCACTTCCATCTCCCCAGAAGTAAACAGAAATTAAAATGTGCTCTAAGTTTGCACACAGAGAATCATTAACTTCGAATAGTTAGGGACTAGAAGGAGGCAGAGAAGGGGGATTTTTGGTATTTTTTTACTCTTTTTCTGCCCCAGGCAAAATTTTCAACATTAACTAATTAATGTTTATAAAGCACTTTGCATATATAGTGCCTTTCATCAGGGGATCTCCAAGTATTAGATTATATTATCTGGAAGGCCTCAGGCCTGTGCATGCTAGCCCTATAAAGTATTAGCCTTATAAACTTCAGTAATTCATTTAGGTTTTTTTTTTCTGTTTTTTTTGTTGTGTTGTGTTTTTTTTTTCTTGGTTGGGTTTTTAATCTTCCCTCTTCTGAAAATGTGCCGAGAACTTTGTCTGAGTATGTAAAGAGGTGGTAAAAAGGGTGGTGTCAGCCAGAATGACCATATGAGAAATCAGAGCCCCATCATGCACTTCTCTACTCCTCTAATTGCTGGTGTCGGGGAGTAGCAATTGTGCCAAACTCAAATTGGACTACCAATCCCACACGTCACACAGGGTTCAGCAACAGGCATTGGCACTGGCTGTGGAAGAAGCTCTGATGTTTGCTCTGTGCCACAGTGGGTACAGGGAGGTCACGAGAGACCTCTGATAGATGGCAACATCAGGAAGCAAAGGCAAGGCACCGGTGGAAGGGAGGAAAAAGCTCCCACGGGGGCAGTCTGGCAGCTTTTCTGCATTGCATTAAGCCCCTGTTCTTCTAGAAAAGGCTTGGTGGTGGCTGGGAGTTGGGACCCGAGGAGGTCCATGGGAATGGAGCATCTCAGGGCACGGGTTGTCCCTGTCCTGGCCAAGGCAGGAGGCACAGTACCCTAGAGCCACACTAACAGTAGTGAATCCTCCATGTGTCAAATCTAAAGAGCCTGCTTGGGTGTGGGCTCGGCTGATGACTCAAACAATTACTTAACAATAGCCTGTTTCGTGAGCTGGCAGGGATGTAGCCAGGTTCACAATGGAAAAAATGTGTGGGCATTTCTGCTGCAGCGAAACACATGGGGAGCAGACTTGCTGCTGCATGTAGGAGCTACCAGCAGAGAAAGCAAGGCCTTGGGGAGCAGAAACTTGACAGGGACAAAGCAGAGGATGTCTTTGCCCTTACTTGCACGTCTTACAGGTGGAATTCCCCCAGCTGAATTTAGCTGGGTAAGGGCTGCAGCTCTGAAGCCAAGGAGAGAGCAGCAAACCCAATCTTTCGAAGAGTCAGCGGTATTCAGAAATAGAGAACAGAGCCATCCCCTCCAAGGCCATCTGGCCTAGACCAAAGAAGCCCTGTGCAGTGGAGGTTAGCAATAGAGGGTAGGAAATCCCCATCCTTCAAAGGAGGAGAGCCTGATGGCACACGTTGCAAAACCAGATAGGTGTTGCTTCACATAAACAGCTCTTCCAGAGCTGCACACACTGAAGAACTTGATGGGGAGCTCGAAATGAATAAAGTTACTCACTCACCACTCACAGACTGACATTCTGAGTCCCAGAATGACAGTTGTGGGTAGGCAACTCCAGGGAGAGAAGCAGCAGGGAGAAGTGTGCAAGGGGTGAAGGGAATGGTTTGTCAGCTGGAGTGCTGGCAGCAGCAGGAAGAGGAAATCTGTATTCAGGAACTGGACAGGTTGTGATGGCTTTGTCGTGGAGTGAGGCGGCCCTCATCCTTGCAGCCTACAGTATGCCCAGTGCCCAGAAGGCTACAAGTGGCAGGTCCCACACAGGCTGCTCTGTGGTAGAAAGCAGCAGAGGGCCACAATGGATTGCACATGATGAGAAGACTAAACTTCCCTCTCTGGGGACACTGCACTGAAGCTAAAAGTTTCATCACCTCTATCCAACCAAGAGTGCAGGCTGAGATACTGAGCATGATCCCAGTGAGCACTGAAAAGGCTCTGCTGGCCTCTCTCCCCTCAGGTAGGTGTGGTATGCGAGGGACTGGGAGGAGCAGAACAAGAGCTTCTCTGGGTGTGGTTGGGGCTGCCCCCCAGGCTGTGGCTGCACATTTGCTTTGATCTTTGCATGCTCTGGGCTCACCATGCATGCTGCTTCTGTGCTTCACACATGGTGTGTCTCCTGCTAGTGAGTGTAGAAGCAGAGCTGTATATTCATATCGGCAAATGAGAGTATCTACCAGATAGAGGCAAGTGGGCATGTTTACAAGGTGCTGTGTATGTATGCACTGTTCTCACCTCTTCTTTGATACAGACTTTCACCTACAGGATAGGCTAATATGCTCTGGACCAGGATACCCCCACACCAGTTTGTTGTGCAGCAGGAGGAAGAGTGCAGTGCTGTGCAGGTACTGGCATGACCTCCAGCCTAGGGCAAGAATGGATTAACTCAGCTCATCAATAGAGACCGAAACACCTTCTTCTTTTCACCCAGTGCAGGGAGCAGACATTGCTGAATTAGGCCCTGGTGAGCCCAGCATGACAGCTCACCAGGTAACATCAACTGGCTTTGAGTCATCCCTGCCCTAGAAGCCAACCAGCTTTTCAGCTGCCATTGCAACAGCTACCACTGCTGTGAGGTGTTAGCGGTTTCGCTGTCCACTGCTTGTTGTCTCTGCCCATCGGCTTGGAAGTCATCCGCATTCCTCCTCCATGGGCAGCTCCAAAGCTTTGATGGAGAAAGCCCAGTGCGGTTTTACTCATGACAGCTCCACCCTTCAGTGGAGCAGGTGCACAGCGGCTGCAGACAGTCTCAGCAGGGCTGGGAGAGCTGGAACACTGTGGCTGCTCTGCCCATTTGCATGCAATTCCTTCTAGCTGCAGAATGCTCTCCCAGTGACGGGTAATTTGCCTGGCTGGGGAGCTCGGGAGGAGCCACACAGAAAGGGATTTCCCCACACTTTGCACCAACGAGGCCCTGTGGGGTGGCTCGTGTAACTGTGAGCTGGGGCATGAGTGACAGGGGAGCAACACCACAGGGTGAGAGTGATTGGTGCAGTGTCGGGAGGTAACACTGCCGTGCACTGACTTGGGGAGGAGGTCTCATGGTGCTGCACAGGGAGTTATGTCCCAAGAGGCTGTGTGTCCTGTGGTGTGCACAGCTGGAGCTGAGCAGCTGACATGGGACCAGAGAACCTGTGAGGACCAACCATGGCGCAGGCAGTGGCTGAGGGACTCCAGAGCGGTGGACAAGAAACGACTTGCAGCAAAGCTGACTCTGCAAGGCTGAATTGGGCAACAGCAGTTTAGATCAGTGATACATCTGGAGGCTCTCAAGTGAGGCAGCTGAGGGAGGAAGCTGCTGCCTCCTGGCAGCACAGCCCTATTTGGAGGTGGGGGGGGGGGGCTGCTTGTCACCTGGGGCTTGTGCTCCAGCAGATGGGGAGATTTCAGCCTAGCACCATGGAAGTGTTCCTTTGTTGGTTAGTTTTTTTCAGGTGACTTTAGGGAAGGAGTGTTAATGTGTTCTCCCAGACAAAATACCTTCAGTAGTGTCTCGTGGTGTGCTCTCACAAGAGCAGAAAGCAGCAGGACAGACTGCGTGTGTAATTATGGTGCATCTTCTGGAGAGAGGAAGGGATGGCCGGGGCATGATGGAACGTTTGGCCAAAAGTTGCCATCATCCAGAAACAAGGCTGCGGTGCTCCCTCATTCTTGAGGAGGAGGAAGAGGCTGTCACAGCCTGGAGCATGGCACATTAGTCTTGGCGCGGGGCTTCCTAGGGCAATCTCTGGTCGTTTGTGCTCTTCCAAAACGTCAGCAGCTCTTCCTATCTCATGAAATGCTGTTTTGATTCTATGGCCCAGCCTGTGCAAGTGTTTGAACTACTCCAAGAGATGGCTCTGTCTCATTCAGCTCCGTGGGTCTAAACTAGAGACTCCAGTTCCTCACCAGCCATCTACCAGGGCTCAGCCTGCCCGCAGGCAGGGCAGCAATAGGAAGAGAAGGGACAGGGAGCACAGCGGCCATGCAGACTGGGGGCACCGGGAGGTGGGGACGAGCATCTGGTACCAAGGAGGATGGGTTCCTGTGAGCCTTGCCACCAGCTGACCCCAGAGCACTGAAAACAAAGAGGGAAATACCCTTCGGAAACTGCCCAGATTTCATAGTTGAAATTTAGACCACCAGTCTTGTGATTCCTGGAGATCTGATTCATGCTTTTTGAACGTGTGGATTTGGCAATCCTGCGCTCGCATTTCGAGCCGTTTCCCAACCCCTTATTTTCCCCAGAGGCATTCTTACTTTTTCACTCCCATATTCAGGAAACAAACTGCTTGGGGGGCTCCAAGAGTTGTAACCAACAGCAAAACCCATCCATTATGTCTGCTCACTGAACAACACACACAGCCCCTTCCCCAGCTCCGGCCAGGGTCTATGGGATGGCACTGAGGGCCTCCCTGGACTCACAGAGGGTGGCTGTGTTTAGGGGCTGAGCGTGAGTTTGAGATCCATATTCAGTCAGGGAACAAAATATCCTGTTGTGTTGTTGGGGTTTTTTTTAAGGCTGAAGGATTTGGGGAGACCTTAAAGGAATCTTCATAAAGGGGCCTTCAGGAAAGATAAGGAGGGAGCTTTTATCAAGGAGCGTAGTGATAGGACAAGGGATAATGCCTTTAAACTATAAGAAGGTGGGTTCAGATTAAACATGAGGAAGAAATGCTTTACTTTTTACTTTTACAGCTGCCCAGAGGTGGGCAGCTGGAGGTGGTGCCCCATCCCTGGAGGCACTCAAGGTCAGGTTGGATGGGGCCCTGGGCAGCTGAGCTGCTGGGTGGCAGCCCTGCCCATGGCACGGGGTGGGACTGGGTGGGCTTTAGGGTCCTTCCCAACCCATACCTTTCTGTGATTCCACTCTAATCTTTTTTCATCCAGTTGTTGTTGGACCTACATATTTATCAGCACAGATATCAATCAGGGAATAAGTGCTACCTTCATGCAGAGAAACAACATTAATTACACAGAGCCTCTACAGTGTGCCACTCACTTCCCATGGGCAGCCTGCTACAGGCAGAGTGCAAGGAGAGCTCCACGCCCTGGGAGTGGAGGCTGTTTTCAGTTCCCTGTGAGAGGCATCCCTGCCTGCTTGGAAAGAAAACTGTAATGAGAGAGTGAAGGGAGCCCCTCTGTGACTCCCAGGGCTTGCAAGCAATGGGCAGCACCAAACTGCCACCGGCCCCAAGGGTGTGTGAGTTGCTGCAAGATGTAGCTTTGTTGGAGGGCTTGGGACTCAACTATGTGCCAAGGAGATCCCCGAAGTGTGGCATAGTGGGAGGGGGAATTACCAAAACTACCTGCAGGGAAATCCCAGATGCAGGGATGTGGGTTGTCGGGCTGCTGAGAAGTGCTTCCTTCTTGTGGCGTTTGTTGCAATGCTGCAGAAACCTAACGATAGCAAGCTTTTGTTGGCAGTACAGCAAAGCACATCTTGAAGGAGACATCCAAGAGAAAACAGCTTAGTAGCTTAAAATAGCTACAGCTGTGTGGGACAGCCCTCCTCCTCCTTTTTGCTTTTGATCCCAAGAGGGGTCTAGGACAGGAAAACCGCTCCATTTCTATTGTCCTCCAGGGAAAGGGGAGTCCGTGTCCCTGACACCTCAGGAGGGCTGGAGGGTGGGGGCACTGGGATGACGGTGCAGACCATTGCAGCCAGCGCTCCCAAGGCTCCCCAGACATCCCATCCCAGATCTGTAAGCTCTCAAGAGCAAAAATGTCACGTTGCCTAACAGTTAACAAAGATCACCAGTATCTGAACCCTCTTTTAGTTCTGTTGAATCATTTCAGCACACATGGAGGATATCCAAATACTCACCATTTCTGTCTACATGGAGGACAACAGGTCTGCCATAGAGATCCATGACCCTGCAATCCGGACACGTGACAGCTGAAGAGTTTTTTGTGCATATGCTCTCCTATGGAAGGAAACCAAGGCATCCAGCCTAGAGAGAGCTGGGATAGGATGGTCATCATTTGAGGGAAAAAAAAAATAAAATTCAGGCATGAAGAAAGCTTTGGGGAGGAAATGTATCTGTGAAGCTGTGCAAGATGAGATTGGGAACACCCACTCTGGCCACTGTGAGGCCACGGGAGCCTCACTCAGGTCACTGCACCCTGACTTCAGGCAGCCAAGTTTGGGGCTCTTAGCTCAAAAAGCCAAGGAGTATTTATGCCATATCCCCAAATCACCAAGCACCTCACATGTGGCATAATGCCCTCAAGGGAACCTGGAGACCTCAGCACGCATCAACAAGCTCTGGAGAGCAGAGGAGCAGGGCAGTCCCCTCGCCCTGGGCAGGCCTGACTGTCATCAGAAACTCAGCTTTCACATAGAACTGCAAAAACTTCAGCCCGTTACAAAGAAAAAGCCTGAAAGAGCAGTCATGTACCCCAGAAGCTGAAGGAGCCTCACCCAGGTGTAGTTAGCTCTAGAAGAATTGGATCCTGGCAAACTCTTCTGAAGTTTGTCTTGATCAAGCATATAGAGAGACTGCTCTTTAAAAAAAAAAAAAAAAAAAAAAGCAGCTTCCTGACTCACTCTCTTCCCAAGACTGCCCTAGCCCAAGGCATTTTCCCTGCCTTGGGAAGTGTTGCAAAATTTGAGCTTGCCCTGGAGGTATCTCTCACTAATTACTGGATATCCTGGTTTTGTGTAAGGACACAGCCAGAACTTCCCACAGGTTCTTCTTTATGGCATGGGAAAAAAACTAGAAACACTGATTTCTGTTTCGGCATCCTACAGCAGACTACTGAGAAGGGCTGATTAAACACTCAAGGGGATCTCTTTCTGGAGCCATCCTCTCCAGCTCCAGGGCATCCCTCACCAGCAGTCTCTAAGAAGCAAGGAAATTCAAAGTCAAAACCCACTTCACTTTTAATACTTGCCTTTTGTACCTGAAGCTTGGGTCACTTTCAGTTTTTTTTCTCTGTAATAAAGAAGGTCAAAACTTTCAAGTGAGAAGCAAAGGCTCTGAGAGCTCTCTGAGACGAGACCCATTTGAGTTTGCACCACCTTCCAGCCAAGTTGCAAAGGGCTAATGAGCCAGCTGGTGAAAGACAGAGTGCAGAAAATTACAGCCCTAGCCCTGACAAAAGGTAGCGCAACCCTTGATGACTGTGTCAGCTCAATGCTAGTTAGATGGGCTATAAGCCTCCTTCCATGTTTGTTTTCACATCAGTACAAACTGCTCCAGCTTTGAGATATTGAACAGACCATGCCATATCTACTCATCCCAGCCTCTCAGCATCAGTCGGGCCACCGATTCCCATGGAAACAACACATTCCCCCATACCTGGCAGCACTCTAGGTTTTTTGCCTGGAGTACAGCACTGAAGCTGGTGGTCACCTTTCATGCTACTCCTTCAAAGTGCAGTGATAGGATTACAGAGGATTTCTCCAAATTTTGAGAAACACAGAGTGAAAACTGCCTTGAACAGGAAGTAACAATTTAAGGATTTTTCCCAAGTAGTAATTATCCAATAAGTCTGCTTCATTAAAAATACAGCCTGCATACACATACTCACCTACCTCGATGGACCTCTTTTCTTCTTCTACAAGGGCAGTTTTATGTGATTTCTGTTAAAAAAAAAAAAAAAAGCCTATACCAGAAAGCATGTAAATGTACCAGAGTTGTTGAGAGAGAAGATAGCTCAGTTCTCAATCTCCTTTTCCTATCTTTCTTCTTGAGTACTTCAGCTCATCAGCTCTTCAAGGGGGTCTTTATTCTCTGCACAGTTTTGCACAAAAGTATCAAAGGATTTTAATATACAGACACTTGCATCTTCTTCAGGAATTTCTCTCGCCTTGTTGCTGGAGTTTCATGTCCAGGAGCTCAGACCTTAGAGGAAGTTGTGCATTTCTTTTAAAGACAGGTTTTCACCTCAAACTGATTTTAGAAGAACATTCTCTGTGATCTAGCAGAGAGAATAAATTGCTTACCGATAATTGTAATTCTTAAGGAAAACACTGAGCTGCTGAGAGGAGGATGACTTCGTAGTGTTGGCTCTACCCACAGAGACCAGCTCCGTGGTGTGGGAAAAGAGAACAGATGAGTGTCAGGTACCCTCAGGTAGGCATGAATCACAGAATGGCCCGGGTTAGAAGGGACCTCCAGGATCATGAATCTCCAACCCTGCCGCCAAATACTAGACGGCAGGGCCACCAACCTCTCCATCTAATACTAGACCAGCCTGCCCCGGGTCCCATCCAACTTGGCTCTGAAGAAAGATACCTGCCAAGGAAATGTCTTGTAAAAGCTTAGAAAGACCTACTGCTACAAGGATCTGTAGAAAACTCTTGAATATAGTAGGGCCTAGTGGTAGAAGCCTTGGCCACCATGAAACACAAACTTCCTGTGAGAATGAAAAGAAAGCTCTAAGGAGACTTGATTGCAGACTTTTAAGACTTTAAGAGGAGACTTATAAGAAAGATGGAAAGAGACTTCTTGTGAAGGCATGTTGTGATAGGACAAGAGGTAATGGAAGCTATAAAATAGAGGATCCTGAGAAGGGACAGGGCCACAAAGTTAGCAACTAACATGGAAGAATAGTTACAGATAGCAGTAAAGGAGTGATCAGTTCATGCCTGTATCAGAAAAGGCACTAGGAACGATGACTGACCTATCTTGGAAGGAAAAACCTGGGTTTCTTGCCTATGCCTTCAAAATAAGAGAAAAGCCCCAGAGGGGTGCTTGTCTAGCTTGCAAAGGCCTGCACCAAGTGAAACACAGGCCTTGTGACTGGCAGGCATGCAAGGCAGCCTTCCAACTGGATTGGGTGGGACAAACCACTGACTGATGAAAAGCTAGTGCCAGAAATGGCAAAATGTCAGGTATGATAGCTCTTCAGACTCTGTACTACTTTTGTGGCCATCTGAGGGAAGCCTTCACTGTGGATTCCTGTAACCTCCAGAGCTGCAGGCTCCAAACCTGAGTCCATGGAAAACAATCTCACATGTGCAGACATCAAGTGTGGTACATAAAGAGGTAAACATGTACAGTGCTTGGATTCAGAAATTCAGCAGCTGTTGTTTGAGAAGTTACTGAGGGCAAGTCCAATCACTTGGGCAGCCTACCCCTTTAGGACATCCTCATTTGCTTTTGTCTTTCCTTCTTAATCCCAGTGATCGCAAATGAAGAGAAAAGCAAAGAGAACACAGCAAACAGATGAACCCAGAGAGCAGCTGAGAGCATTTTTTTCCAGGCAAAGTGCACTCACATGGTAGGACACAGGTCCCTACAAGAGAGCAGGCCTAGAACAACTTGACGCAAACAGTAGCCTTAAGCTACTCGTGTCAGTGTCCAAGAGAGCATGATGGCTTTGAGGAATCATCTAGCAATCTCCCAGGCCCCTGCTACCTTCCTCATTAAACCTAGAACAAGGCTGCAGGGTGTGTTTGTGTGCTTCAGCTAGTCCTTCCCAGGGGGAGAGCTGGAGTCAAAGACAGTGCAAAGAGCTGGCAAGTGGATTCAGCATTAAGACTCAAAAATGGCAATAAAGGAAAAAAGCAGCAAAGGGAGAAAGAGTGCAAGGCCCCTTTTGTTCCCATGTAACTTAGAGTGTAGTACAATGTTGTTAAAACGGTATTAATCAAGAGCCAGCAACAACAGGTTTCCCCCACACAACTGGATATACTGTTTTCTCTGAAGGCAAAATACTTGAATGCCATGGATAGTTCCCTGGACAGCTTGGTGCATCAGAAAGAGGCACCACACTAACAGACCATCTGGACAGCAGGAAGTGCCTGGGGTAAGCTTTAGACCCATTGCAGCATCCATGGCATAAGTGGCTCTGCTGCTAAGTGCTGAGGCTGGAACACAAGCATCCCAGCAACCAAGAAGCATGGAAGAACAATGTCAGGGTTCGTCTTCATCATCTCATAACTGAGTTTTTATTGTGTAAAGAACAATTCACTTTCCCATAAATGATGGTGAGTCTGGGAAAAAGGGGAAGATAATCCCACGGCCATCCCTCCTTTAACTCCTGGTGCAGCAGAGCAAAGGAGTCACCTGCTCTTCTCAGAAGCAAAGGTGAGCTTAAATGAGACACAGGATGAAGCCTCAGGAAGAAGACAAGTAGTTTTAGCCTTTGCACCTTCACCATGCTTCCTTCTGTCTGAAGTCAGGCCTGAAACTGCTGAAAAACCTTTGGAAAACGCCTGCTCTCCCTCCTTAAGTTTTGAACAGAGGCAACTTGCTGTGACAGCAGTAACGAAAGCACATAATCTCTGTTGCAAGCAGGCAATAAAAACATTCAATTGTCTTTTGAAGTTTATTATGTATATCTATTTATCGTGTAATTTATTTTCTGTAATATCTTTTATTTTAAAGGTCTCATTGGTTTGAAGAACAGGCAGGCCCATATGTAGATGCTCATCTGTGTTCTCCTACCTGCACTTAATTAGTTGTGAGTTGCTTCAAAAACAATTTAGGACACTGCTTCCATTGCATGTTGCTGAGGTCTGAGAAGCTTTCTGTGTTTCTACTTTCCAGAACATGTGCTAAATACTTCTGTTCAGCTGATAAAAAAAAAACAGCTCTGTGCTGACTGACAGGGGAAGTTGGATAAATGAGGGGTTGCTTTTACTCTGCCCCCCTCCCCATCCACTTGCCTTCAAGTAATTTTTTGCTCTGTCACCCAGTTCTGTTTAAAAACCTTAGAAAACAGATGCTTATCATTAACACTTCAGGTTGGGTAACCGTGCCAATCACCGTGATGGGCAGATAGCTGGGGCTCATTCTCAGAACCATGCCATTAGTCACGGTGATGACAGCTTCAGATGCTGAATTTCTCATACTAGGGAATAAACAAAGTTAGCTATTTATTATTTTTAATAAAATAATTGCTTTAATGCAGTATTTAAAATAATTTTAAACATCTGATCAATAAGATACAGTACACAAATATGGAAAATGCTGCACTTTACATAAAAAGTAAAGCTAAGCATTTAATTATACAAAACAATTTTGCCTGATGCTATCAATATCTCGCAAACTATAGCTTAGTCAAAGTACTGCTTTTCTTTTATATATATATATATATGCCATATATACATATATAAATAATTTACAGCATTCATTTGCTAATTTGTTTACTACTGTTTCAACACACACACAAAAAAAAACCTGACTCAAAACTTACTGAATTTGGTAACTATATGCAGTGGTTCTGATGGTAGAGGGTGTTTAAGTTATCACTTTAAGTTTTAAAGTAGCATGCCAAATAACCATAGGAAGCTTGTTCCTTGAAAGAAAATAAGTTTTAGCAGGAAGCCATTCAATATATCAGTGCCTTTCCCACTTGTCCTGGGAAGCAGCCATGCTATGCAGCACTGTGTCATGGGAGGCAACGTGTCTAGAGGCTGGGGAGAAGGGTGACCTGGAGCTTTTCCCTCCTACCGCAAGGCAATCTTTACCAGCAGAGCAGAAAATCTTTCAATCTATTCTAGCAGTCTTGGTAGTCTGGAGACATCCTCCTTACTGAATGGAAACAAGGCAACTGTCTAAACTAACTACTTTCTACCTGAAAAGTTTCCCTGTTATACCACATTAAGGTATGATAAACATTAAGCTGACAACTAAATCAGTATTCTCAGTAAAGCAGTGAATCCTGTGCTTTGCAAATACTATGCATCTCCTTAAGAGTCTCTAGCTGTAAAGTTTCAGAATATTTAACATATCTCAAGTCTTCCCTTTCTTGCAATAAGCCCAGGTTTTGGTTCATTTCTTTCTAAATCTATGCTTAAATCCATTGCTTTTTTTTTTTTTTTTTGTTACCTACACAAAGAAAAACGTAAGAAATCAGTTTCTTCTTTTCACCCTTCTTTTTCAGGCTTTTTTTACTCCCTGTATTCAAGTTTACTAACTCCAGATTTTCCTAAACATCAAAGTATGCCCTACCTACAACTGCTTGGTGTACTTTAACCACAAGAATGTCCAATTTGTTCATCCTCCCTCAATCACTTTTCTCAGCAGAAAAGGGAAGGGGACAGTTGAAGTGTTGTGGGGAAGAGGAAGTGTCCCTCACTCCTTCTGTTTGCTACTTTGCTCCACAAAGTAACATTCAATAGTAATTCTAAACCCAGAAAATTTAAGGACATCTGATTTAAGGAGATTTGTCGAGACAAACAGGCAATACATTAGCATGTTCATTGACTGCTGGTTCATGAATAAATACAATTGTCATGCTGTGCAGTGCCTTTAAAGAGTTACTTGTCCCCTAGATAAGGTTGGATTAGAAGAAGGCACTACAAACAGATGTCGCAGATTCTGGAGTACTGAAGCAAGTAACATACATAAACTAGGTACACATATCAAGCCCTCAGAGCCTGCAAGACACATAAATGCAAGCCAGTCAGGGACTTGTGTGTACAGCTCAGTGTTTTCACTGGTTTACAGACTGGTTTAAGCCAAACATTATTAAAAACCCTACCGGTGCTAAGTTAGGTATTTAATAAAAATGTTTATCTGTAAACAAGAGTTATCCTTACAACGGATCGTTTTCCAGAAATTGGAATTTCAAGACAGTGCAACAATGCTTCAGTGTTTTCTTTGGCAGTAGACAGCAAGTTGAAATGTGAAATTCAGATCACTTCAGAAGAGCACGGTACAAGGTTAGAGAATGCTTCATCTCCCTCTCTTGTTCCATGCAGAATATCAAGTCCCTGAGACAGACACGAGTTATTCTTGGACGAAGAAGCTGTTTTGTAAGGCTAAAATTTGATGACCCAGGAGCAATTCCATTGCTGTTCAAACCCTAAGAGTAGAAAGCGAAAGAAAAGAGAAAAACATTAACATTTCATGTCAATACAAAGTTTTTAAATCAAACTGGTTGGGTTGTACTGCCTACTTGCATAGAAGTAACCTGTTGATATTTTTTAACTTTACTTGTTACAAACCAGAAATCCAGATGCCCTTGGTACATTAGATACTTCAAAAGACAAAGCAAACATATGCCAGTTAATGGTTTACTCCAGTCAAAGCAATGAAAAAATTACTAAAAAATTCCTTTTTTTTTTTCCTTAAACTGTATGATTGTAAGATAGGTAACTGCTGTTTCACTGAAGTCATACTAAACAGCTGTGCTTTCTCACTACAAGCTCACAACAAAGGTGGTACTACCACTGTTACTGTGCAGAGCTGTGTTGTACTCCTAGTTGCAAGAACTCCAGATGCTTACATCTCTTCTTAAAGAAAACCATCACTGTGATGGGCATGAGCCTTGAAACGTGGCCAGAAGAAACTCTTATCCTGGCCATCACCTGTCAAATGTCCTTTACAAAAGCAAGACATAAACACAGTCCAAGCATCTGTGCATTTGGAGTGCTGTATCCAAGCCTATCCATTTCAGACAGCAGCCTCGCTTGGTTATGAAAGCACAATTGGTGTGGAGATGATGTAGTTATACATTCAGGCTATTGGAATGAGCAACCCCCATGCATTCCAAAATGTCCCAAGATTTATTATTAGGGGTGGGGAGAAGGAAGATTACCATGAGCTGCACAATAGACTGGCTACTTATCTTGGAGCCAATCTATGCTACACAGCCAGTCTCTTATCACTACTGGAGGGTTCTTGGTAATGAATGCAATTTGTACAAATACGACTGCTCAGTCTCTGTAACTTCAGCAAGGCAATGCCTGCCAGCATCAACACCACTTGGAGATGGTGTTGCTTGGATGCTGTGCTAACTGTATCAATTCTTACCCTAACACTCTGTAAGACTTCAGCAAAATGACTTTGCCCACTTTGCTTAGGGAAATCTGGTTTAAAAACCCATATATTAGATACAAATATCAGTGGTGGACTATCTATAGCCGTGAATGCTATTGTTGTTAGAAGGAAAGCATTGAAATTTATTTACAAAAAAAAAAAAAAAAAAGGAAAGAAAAGGATTCACCAGAGAGCACATACTAGTCACGGAAAACCCAGGGCATATTGCAGAAATAGAAGCTGTATTTCTTACTAGCAGCATGCAGGGTATTCAGCACCATTTCATTTGCTTTACAGTCGATACTATTAAACACTATGAAATGCCATCATTTGAAACTTTCAGTTTGTTAAATGGCTTGGAACAAATGCGTGTGTGGGGAAGACTGCTGGCCACATAGCATAGAGAGGGCACTGCTGTCCTGGTAAGACACAAGGGGGTCACAGTTCAAGTTTGTCATATGACAGCCCCGAAGGATCCAGGGAAAAGATAGCTCTGCAATGCAGCTGCCAGCACGGGTTGAAAAGGAGGTCAGTCCAACAGGATGCAGCAGAAGGCCTGAGGCAATGTTATAAATGAAACAAACCCCAAGGGTTTGCAGGAACCCAACAGTAATGTCCTTTGTAATTCAAAGAACTTTACGGAGGGGAAAGTATTTTCTCTCTAAATTGTCATTAGACTACGAGACTTACCTTTAGAAAGATGCAAACCAAAGCCAATGCAGTTTTCCTCCTTACAAAAAGAAGGCAGACATCACAAATCTCCGAGTCTGCTTTGGAAGCTATCAGAGCAGCAAGCTGTTAAAACAGAGAAGCTGCCCATGCTTGAGACAGAATTATGGATTTGTTTATGCTTAAATTCTTACCCATCATGCCCAATGCAGGAACACAGAGTGATGTTTTGCAGTAAAGTCACTTCCAAGGCCAAAGCTTATACTGGACTTCTGTTTGCTAAGACAGCTCATATTTTTCAATTTCACACGACATCAAACAGGCCTATCAGAGCTGAGTACAGTATTTGAGGGGCTCTTCAGCTAGCTACTGAACATATCTAAACCAATGGCTGCCACATTCATGTTAAAAAAAAAAAAAGGCCCCTCTGTCAAAGTGCAAGATGGCTTAAAATCAAAGTAGTTGCACAGCACAGCAGAGGTCATCCCAGCTCTGGGATGCAGGCTGGACTGCAAACAGGCTCTGTATGGTCAGGAAACTCGTCCTACGTTCCAAAACCACCTGCATGTCTCTGATCAGTTTACATGGGGATGAGCACTAACTAGTTGCCTCTCACAGCTGCATGGAAGCATGGGTCTTTTACAAGTTTTGAACACTGGAACAAACAGCGCAGGGTGATATAGTGTCCGTTTGTAATAATACACTAAGAAACCAGAAGTAAAAACACTTGAAGTTATGTTGTCACCTGCATACTGCAATGAACCATCACACACAAGCTTCAGTGTCAAAGAGCTTAATGAGTGCCTCACTCTGAGCTCTGCAGCTGACACAGAAGGTACTTCATGGAAGGGCACTCTGCTGCTCTGTTCCCAGAAACCTGCTCTTGAGCAAGTTCCTTCATCTTTCCTTAGACAAGTACCAGCAGCCCTTTACTTTGCATTTCATATACTCCTTCTTGAACAGAAGATCCCTGATGCTGCTTTTCAGACATTAGTATTCATGTTAGAACAACACCAGTCTGTACCTTACTCCCAGATATCTCTATTATGTTTCTCTCCAGTGGGGCAGCAAATTGCTGTGCAAAAAATAGAAAAAACTGTCTTGTTAGTTTGGGAGGCTCTTCATAGCAGAAGTCCTCTGTCTACCCTCAGACACCTTTGTCATCTTTTTCTGAAGAGAACTGAAAAATAAGGCTTTTAATTATCAGTACCTCAATGAGCAAACAAGCAGGAGAATTACCCAGCACAGGTACTGCCAGCCCAACAGGATATCAGCAGCAATGCTGCAGCTTTAGTACAGCTTACAGACCCCATCTATAAGTTAAGCAAGGTACTGCAGCAATTGGGCTCTGCGCTACTGGAAACCACCTCTCACAGCATGCAGAGCATCAGGCTTAAAGTCAGCAACACAAGGCTACACAGGCTGCAGTTCTGTGCTTCACATACCCTCAGAGTCCAGTCAAATCAGCAGCACTGTCAGAGCAACACGGCTTTGTGATCCTCATAGCCTTTTGTATATTCCTAACAGAGATCAGTTACTCTTACTGACTGTGGCAACAGAAAATACTGTGGAGCTCCTGCAGCAGTTCCATACCTGTTTTGCAGCTCCTGTCATCAGGAGCCTGCTCCTGTAACACAACTTTAAGATCTTTAGAGCTCTCTCCAGTGGCCAGACAGAGAATTAAATATTGATTCTCTTTTCAACGGCAAGAGCGAATTTGACACAGAGCCACAGCTGTCACGACAGTAAGGCTGAAAGACAAGGCTCTTCCTTTACCTCAGCTACCATCATTCTCCTAATTCCTACTCTCCCAGGTACTTGGAGCACACAATATAGAAGTTTGCATCTTAAGCAGTGGCAGGAATACCAGAGCTGTTCAGAGCTATTACACAGGACTTGAAGCAACACTCAAAGGTCAGTAGAACCCTACCTTCCACCAACCTACAGCAGGCTCAGTGAGCTCACCTGGCAGAGAACACATTCCCTTCCCAAATTTAATGGCTTCACATCAACTGCATTCAGAATTTTCAAGTCTTGGTGTGGTTTCGCAGAGGTGCACTTTAAGGCAGCAAACTTCAGTCAGATGTTAAAAATAGAGTCACAAGCTCTCATTTTAATTTTTGGTGAGGCATACTTTTAAGCCTCAAAGCTAAGATGCCAAGAGAGTAAGCTACCAGTGCAGCTTTGCTGCGCATTACAAAAATATCACCAAAAAAAGGAAACAGTAAGGAGACAGTTTTCAATGGCATTTGTAAACACTGAGAAGTTGCAGCTGTTTGTAACAGATACACTGTTGGAAGGTGGTACAAACAGCAGCCAGAGCAACTACTCTAATTCAGGTTCAATCCCCCACTCACTTGTGGCCACACTGAGTTCTCTGATAGCTAGTGTGTTCTGTACATCAGTCTCCTGTCTCATAAAAGGGAAAAAAAGATTAAAAAAAGCCATAAACATGTGAAGTGCTCACCTTTCTGGATCTAGATAAGAAAGACAACCTGTCAGAATTGTGGACATGTTGACTATGCAAATAAGTGCATAATTTAGGCTAGAATGAATTTAGGCAAAGTGAAAGAAGTTGATACTTCGTTGGCAAACCAGCATACTGATTCTGCCTATTCTGTCAAGCCTCACAGTCTCCAGAAATACTCCCACATTCGCAATGCTAAAATACTATGCTACTCAATGTTTATAAAAAAAGATTTATTTTTTAAGAAGTTGTTCTTGTTTTTCATGTGTTGACATTTAAATCTCATAGACCATTAGGACAGATCAAGCTGATGTCTGAAAGGCTCAGATCTGTTTCCTGACTGTTTTCGCATACAGCTGAAAACAAACATGTATATTTATGATGTTATCTGTAGTCTACAAAGAAGTCTCACCAAGCTGTCAGATCTATACAACAGAGAATGCTATCCAACTACACATTTTCCTCAGATTTCATTGCAGTATTCCTACAAGTCCTTTCATATGTAGGCAACAACATGCTTTACATATTGAAACAAATTACTGTGAATGCAACGTCAGTTTATTCACTATTATGCCCAAGATTCATGTACGCATGTCACTTCGTGTGGCTACATCAGATGCTTAATCTGTACCTGGAGGTAATGAATACTATACAAATATGTCATGTTAGTTAATAGACAATTATTAAGCTGAAATTTTCTGGCTCTTTGCCACATCTTTTTAAGCAATGTATTGTCAACTAAATTATAAATTGCTTGACCCTTCACATGTCATCAACATTTCTGCGTTACCAATATGTTCAGCCTAAAGCTACAATGCAATTAGTCATTTAAATTGCAGATATCTTTCACACATAAGAAGAATTAAGTTCCCATCTAGCACAGAGAGAGCACAATGTGGGCCGATGAA